AGGCCATCACCAGGGCTTCCCCGTCCGACTGGACCGGCCCAAAGCTATAGTCTTCCAGAACAATTGCCACATGCGATGGGAGGGTCCTAAAGGCCTTACCAAAGGCCCCTCCCAAGCTGACAAGATCAGTACCCGCCATGGGCAGAAAACTGCGGCGTTCGAAAGGCAACGGTACATGGGGGAGAAAGGAGGCCATCTAGGAATCGCTAGGCGTATAGCCGCAAGGCCAAGGCCAGGGGGGGACCCCAAACGTTTGCCCAAAAGGAAAAAGAAAACAGGGGGAAAGAGCCCAGGGTTCCGGCCGAGGGGCCCGAGACAGGAGTCAGGGCGGAGTTCAATCCCAGCCAACCCCCTCCCGCGGCGTCAGCAATCCTTGTTTCTTCAGAGCGCGGGGTCTGTCCCCTGGTCGCGCCAGCCACACTCCTCAACCGCCTGAGGGAGTGAGCTATCAGCGCCCACGGCAGCTGGCTCTCCTCCCAAAGGAAAATATGAACATCCATTATGTAGTAAGAGGAGAAGAGAGCCAGAACCGGGCAAACGGGGAAAGGAGCTATATCCAAAATGGAAGTCCTCCCAGCCGGGCACAGGGGGAACGATCGGCGCCAACGGCAGCCGGTCCCCCCCAGTGCCGACGTGGTCGGATCGCCGCTCACTTGACGGCCTTCTTCGCGAGGCCGTCGATATGGCGCAAGGTGTCCATCTCCTTGTTGCCCAAGATGATCTCCCAGATGGCGTCACTCACGGGCCCCGTCTGATTGGAGATCCCAAAGCGGATCCGGGGCACCCGCTGGTGGCCAAGGGGACGTCCCGAGGGGGGGCCCGCGGCTCCACCCTGCAGTAGAACTCCAAGCGCTCCTTGATCCACTTGTTGTACAAGCCCTGCGGGGGCTCATCCAGGATGAGCTGGACAATGGCGCGCCCGGAGCGGATCTGGAGCAGCCTCGCCCGGCCTTCCAGAACCCTTTGCAGTATTTGCACATGTAGCCTCCACGCGTGACTCCTTTGGCTTTGGTCACCGTCTCCCAGGCGCTCACGGATGGGAGCACTAGGCCAAAAGCAGTGGGCCTGCCCCGGGAAGTGCTTCTTCCGGTAGTCCTTGCCGACCGGGCCCGTCGCGTTGTACTTGGTGATGGGCGGGAAGCGCTGCTCAGCCGGGGTGCTGCCGTCATCCAGCTGCACCCCAACGTCTTCCCGGGCATTATCAGCGCCAACGGCAGCTGCCCCCACCCCCGCCAGGTCGGACAGGCCCACCGCCGCCAGCATGTCCGGGTTGTAGCCCAGCTTGCGGTAGACCTCCACAGCCTCCGCCGGGGGCAAATCGCCAGCCCACCACTGCTCCGAGTTGCAGCGGTAGAACACCGTCGCCTACTCAGGTCGCCCACCTGGGCGTGCAGCGCCTCCAGAACCTTGGGGAACTCCCGGAGGCTGTCCAGGGGGAGAGTGATCCTCTCGTCACACACCGCCCTGAGGATCATGTGCTCCTTCGTGTCGGTCATCTCCTGGATGGGCAGCGACATCACCGCCGCCGGGGTGCCCGCCAAGTAGGCGCGGGCGGCCAAGATCGACCCGAGCAAGCGGTAGACCTTCTTCCAGTCCTCCGCCGTGGTCGGCAGCGGGAGGTCATTCTCCTCCAAGAAGCTCCGCGCCTCGGACTTCACCTTGAAGGAGGCGTCCAGCCGGGCAAGGCCCTGCTCCTTGCCCTTGGGCCCTCGCTTGTGGGGAGGGATGAGCAGCGGCAGGGAACTCCACATGGCGTACACCTGGCGGAGCGTGTAGGAGTGCCCAAAGCGGTGCATGAGGGTGGCCAGGTCCCAGGTGGACACCTGGCGCACCCAGTGCCACCCGTCCTCATCCTTATCCTTCTCGCTGTCCCTCGGCAGCGCCCAGAACACACCCCGGATTCTGCTTGGCGGGCCGGTCATTGGCCCTGCGCTGCTCCGAGATCTGCTTCTCCGAGTAGCGCACGAAGGGGACGTGGGTCTGCTCGCTGTTCCTGGGGTGAGTGCGGGACTCCAAGGCGGTCAGATCTCGCCCGCATGCTTGGTCATGGTCATCATCCATTTGAGCACCCCGAGCTGCACCTCCGGATCCTTGGAGTCCAGCTTGGCGGAGGGGGCCCCCCCGGAACCCAAAGACTTTGATTTCTCGTAAGGTGCTGAAGGAGTCGTGCAATTAACGACCTCCAATCTCTAGTTGGCATAGTTTATGGTTAAGACTAGGACGGTATCTGATCGTCTTCGATCCCCTAACTTTCGTTCTTGATCAATGAAAACATCCTTGGCAAATGCTTTCGCAGTAGTCCGTCTTTAACAAATCCAAGAATTTCACCTCTGACAGTTAAATACGAATGCCCCGGGCAAGAACAGCTCCAAGCCCGAGCTGCTGGTAGTGCACCGGGGCAATCCTGGGCTGACGACAGGATTGAGTGAAGCAATCCTGCGCTGACGACAGGATTGAGTATGGCCATCCTGCGCTCACAACAGGATTGGCTGAAAGGCAGCCAGGCCCGCACCAGGCCCGCACCAGGCCCGCACCAGGCCCGCACCAGGCCCGCACCAGGCCCGCACCAGGCCCCAATCCGACTTCGGCACGGAGCGCACTCCCTGCGGCCCTGTGCTCCAACTCCTCTCGCCGGGTCATGCTGACGGGCCTAGTTCGGCGTCTCCAGGTGAGGTAGTGGTCGGCCAGCTTGAGAAGATCGTTCAGCATGGCGCGGTCGCTGTCCTGATCGGGCCCACGGCACCCGGGGCAACCCCCCTTCCCTTGGAGCCCGCCGCCTTGGGGGGGTTACCCTGGTCGGGGCCCGGGCAGCCCCCTCCAGCTGCGGCAACTCCAGCATGAGCTTGGCCGGGAACGGGTTCCTCCCCGCCGTGAGGAGCGTCTTGGCCTCCATGTAGGGGTCCATCAAGTCCTGCAGCTCAGCGGCCTTGATGTCGTGCCAGGCCTCCGTGGCCTCAAACACCCCCCGCTCGATGGCGTCCCGCACCGCCATGGGCCAGGCGGAGATGGGTTCCGGCAGGGGACGGAGCATTCGAGTGCGCTCCTGGCCCTCGGCCTGTCTGGCCTTATTCTTGGCCTTGGCGTCCTCCAGGGTGGTCTGCGCCTGGGCGATGGAGGCCGTAGAGGACCCCAGTCAATGCTCTCAACTTTTCTCGACTCAAACCTGTCCAGGTCCAGGAACTTCAGGAGCTCGCCCTCCTGGCCCTCGGTCTCATGGGCCCCAGCCTGCATCTCAGTGAGGACGTCCAGGCTCCTGTGGATCTGCCGCTCCTGCTCCTCCCGCGCGGCGTGCAGCTTAGCGATCTGAGCGTCACTGACCTCTGTCTGTATGCGAAAGGCCTTGAGGGCCAACGGGTGAAACCCCGTGCAGCTCTGGGTAGGGTCCGTTGCCGAGGCCGCCTCCGGGTGCTGCTCCATGAACTCCAAATCCTGGTCCGGCAGGTGCTCCCTGAGGGCTACCCTCATGGCCATGGGCACCTGGTCCGCGAAGGAGGCCTCCTCCGGGGTGGCACTGGGCAGGGGCTGCTGTGGCAGAGGTCCACGGCCGCCACCTGCTTGTCATCGGTGGCCCCCGCCTTGTCGGGGCCCACGGCACCCGAGGCAAGGGACCATCGGGGGAGACCGTTCGCATCCACATCCAAGCGCCAAGACCCCCCGTCCACCCGCAGCAAGTGCGTCATCTCCTCCAAGGGGACCGGGGCGCCCGACTTGCCACAAAGCAGGCACTTGGTCTTGGAGGTCCCCCACAGGTTCTGGCAGGAGGCGCAGGCCTTGAGGGTGCTGGAGCCAAGCCCGGCCCTGCCCCCCGGCTTCTGGGCCGGCTGCCGCAGCATGGCCAGGTGCTCGTGCTTCTTCCTGGCCAGGTAGTACGCCTCCACCACACGTTCCAGTCCACCAGCAGTCAAGGTGGCAGGCTTGAAGCCCGCCAGCAGGCGGCGGACCTGTTCTCGGGGGATCTGGCGCAGCTGCTGCTTGGTACGGTCCGCGAAGGGCGGCAGCTCAAACCCCAGGTCCTTGTGGGGGATCCGCCAAAGCCCGTCGTCCACCCGAATGAAGGCGGGGGGTTTGCTGTCAGAGTCGGTGTCCTCAATTTCCTCCGAGGACTCAGACACCAGCTCGGGCTTCACGGCCTCCGGCAAATCCTCGACCACCTGCTTGGCGATCTCCACCGCCGCCGTGAGCACGCCCACAGGAGCGGCCAGGGGCAGAGGGGTCCTCCACCAGCTCCATGGACTCCGTGAGGTCCGCGGCGTCGATCGGGGCCTCGTCCCCGCTCGGGGCCAACGGCACCCGGGGTGACAAGGCCCCGCTGTCAACCTCCATGCCGGTGGTCTCCGACTCTTCCTGCGCCGCCGCCATATCGTCGTCACCCTCCGTCTTTTGCTTCTTCATCTGAGGGGCAATGGGCGCCTGTTCCTGTTCCGCATCACTCGATGGCGGGGTAGCGCAGGAACTCGCTGGCATCCGGTTGAGCAGGCGCCAGCCCTCCTCGTCCTTCTGCACGGCCTTCTCCAAGAACTTGCGCATAGCATCCTTGGCCTTAGCACTGTCCGGCTTGGCCTTGGCAAGCGCCGCCTTGGAGATGTCGCCAGCGTACACAGGGGCACTGCTGAGGGCCATGGCTTACAAAGGAGAGAGAGAGGGAAAGTTTTCAAATTGAGGAACCAGAATGGTTGCCAGCACTTGAGCCAAAATGGCTACGGTGCAGGCTTGTGTGAACACATGTCATGTGGTCCGTCAAGCCTACCCACAAACGACCAACCAACCAAGCAACCAACCAACCAATCAGTCAATCAATCAATCAATCAAGCAATCAAGCAATCAATGAAGCAAGCAAGCAATCAAACAAGCGTTTGGCCGTTCATCTCGGAAGTGGTGCCCTTGCCTCTGCACTAGTTTTCCCCCAGGATGCAAACAACCCCTGATTAATTCCTTGTCCACCAGGTTCACAAGCGCAAGGTCAACGTGTTTCGTATGGCCCCCATTCCCCGCGAGCACGCCTCGCTTCGGCCGGGGCCATAAAGCTCTGCCGTGTCAAAGAGTCTGACGCCCCCGGTGACGCAGGCGTCGAAACCTGCGGACAAAAGGCCAATGTCACCGGGGAACTCGGACGTCGCTCGAATGGACCCAGGATCCAATGACTTGCCTGTTCTTTTCGACAATGTGAAGGCGCTGGTAAACAGGTGGAACCAAGCTAAAATCAACATTGCTTCAACCAAACAGACCCAACTGGACGCCTATGGGCCAAAGTCTCGGGTCAGCAGCAGGGACATGCCGTAACGGCCTGCCGCTAACCGGCAGAACACGCGGTTCATCGGATTAGTGTCCGACACCAACTGCCAATAGCACAAGCAACAGCACTTTTATGGCCAGCATCTCTATCACATGCAACAACCTCGACACCCGCAGGACCTGCAGGCCATAAGCAGAATGCACGGCGGCAGCGGCAGCGAAAGCTGTGGCAAAAGCAAACAGCTGTATCCACAAGAAGCAACAGCAGCATTAATAGCAGCAGCAGCTGCAAAGGCAGCAGCAGCGGCAGCAGCAGCAGCACAACCCCCTAAGCAACCCAACAACCAAGCAACCAAGCAACCAGCCTACCGACTATGTAACCAACCAAGCAACAAGCACAGAAAAAGACAAACGTAAGCAAGCACTAAATCAAACAATAAGCAAACAAATACGTAAATAAACCAAAAATCAATCAAACCAATACAACACAAACACGCAAAACACACACACAAACACAAAAAACAAGACCATAAACAAGCAAATAAACAATCTGTTGAACAAATCACCAAGCAAACAAACGATCTGTCAATCAAATCACCAAACACAAAACCTGGCACAACAACACACAATCTGTCAATCAAACCACTAAACACAAAACCGGGCATAACACAACCAATCAACCAAACAACCAAACAAATCGCCAATGCAACAAACCAAGAAACCAACACACCAACAAACAACAAATACACCAACACACACACAAGCAACAGCCGCAAGCAAGCACGCCCCCACGCACCCATGCATACAAGCAGCAGGCGCTGAGCCAACTATTAAAAATAAGCAGTGAAACAAGCACGCAAAGAAACACCAGAGAACGCAAAATAAACACTTGCATGCAAGCAAACAAAGAAAACAAAGAAACAACGGCACAAAGAATAAAGAAAGGACAAACACATGCATAAATCACAATATAAATAGAGATTGATATATAATATAATAATAGTATGATAAATATATAGTTGTTTTTGAGCACAAAACACAACTGCATAAACCATCACATAACAATAAACAAGCCCAACATAAGACAACAACCAAACAACACACAACACAGCTAACACACCCACACAAGACAAAACAAAACAACTAGCAACCAAACAAGCAAGGCAGGCAGGGACGCAGGCAGGCAGGCAGGCAAGCACCCAAGCAATGAAACAGAACACCAACCAAAGGCATCCGTGCTCATGCCATGGCTGATTCAACCATGAATGGCCAACCAAACAGTGGCAAGCCACCCACCGCCAAACAAACTCAGCCAGCCCCACGAAACCACTCAAGCCACTCGCGGCCAAAAAGTCCAGGTTTTGGCCCGCCTGCGCGGATGTCCTGGTCCTGCTTCTCGTCGTAGCCCCAAAAGAGCTTGTCGCCCCAGGCCCAGGCGCCGACCCCGAAATCCGGCAGCTCCAGCTTGGGCGCCTGCGCCGGGCTCTCAACGCAACCAGGCAGAGAAAGTCGGCCAAACCTCTCGCCTGCAGGACCTCCATGTGACTGGTTTCTATAAGATGGAGCAGGATGGAGCAGGTGTCAAACATATCTGAGGCTCTGACACCCCTTAGCCAATCCAACTCACGAATGTTCCGCAAAATCTGGGCGCTCTGTTTCCAATTTGGGAATCAACCTTGGCGCCTTCAGAGGTCGCTGTTCTTTTTCTGGCAGAGCACTCGCTCCCTGGAATCGACCCCTAGGATGGCTTGCGAAAGAGTCTTGCGCTGCCAGCTTCGACCAGAAACCTTGGATGTTGTCCCTATGCCTTATCACTGTCGGTGATCTTGCCATTTCTTACGTCCAGGAGAGCTCTTTGAGCTTTGCGTAAAAGCTGCAACACATTCCGTCTTAAAGCACCTCTTCGCATGTGCAGCAAAAGGCCGAAGGCGTCGTTCTTTCTCAACGTTGTGCCCAAAAGTAGGGGCGACCCCCCGAGGCATCGATGCAGCTTTTCGAAGACCACAGAGGCAAAAAAAAGCTGCAGGCAAACTACACGGGGTCCTGCCATAGACACCTGGAGCCTGCTTCTCTCAAGCAGATTCCCTAACAACAGCAACTTGATGCTTGCTAACTGGTCCCCAACAAGAAGTGGCTTACCAAACGAAAATGCCCAAGCACGCCATGGAGAGGTCAAGCCCCAGTGACGTTGTTGAGCCCAGTCACCGCCGGCGCCGGCGCCGCGGCCAGGAGCGGGGCAGCGGCGGGGCCCGCGGCGATCAAGTCGCGGCGCCTGCCCGACTTGGCACGGAGGCGGTGCAACACGCTGGGGCTCGCCGCGCACACACACACATGCCTGTTGCTGTTGTTTGCGGCCCGAGTTGCACACTGACTTGAAGTGGATGGATATCGCTTGAAAAGGCCGTCAGTTGAATCGTGGCACCCCCCCTCGGTGAACCTCCCTTCTCTTGACCCAATACGTTGCGTCAACAGGGCTGCCGCACATGCAAGAGACAGGGTTGCGCACTGCTTTGCGCTTCGTTGACTTCACCCTCTCGGGCCGGGTATGCGCGCTGGTTGCATGCGGAACATCGGCTGGTGTTGCGCTGCAGTTGAGACCAACACCACACCCCTTAGCGCTGCTGTGGTGCAAAGCATAGTTGTTCACGCGCACAAAGGATCTGTGTTTTACCAGGATTTGTCAAGCAAACTCGCCCTGCGCATCCTCAACATGTACGCTGCAGGATGAGGGGCGTGGGGAAAGCTAGATGGGGAAAGGGCCTGCTTTACGCTGACCCCGCGTGTGTCATGGGTTGGCAGCGCCAGGCCAGCTTGATCCTTCATTCGAAGCGACACCCCCGTTGAGCACACGTTGCAGCAGGACAAACACAAACCAGTGGAAATCATTTGGTTCCACGCATCGGCCAGCCCCGTCGCCTCACTTGGACCTGGGTCCGCGCACCCCGCGCGCCCCGGCAAGCGGCGCGCCCAGCGGCCGCAGCCAAAGCCAAGGCAGCAAACTGCGGTGTGCGGCTGACCTGCAACTTTCATTGAAGTAATACTCTCAAAGTTACCCTCTAAGGAAAATTGTGTTTTCGGGGCAATCAACCCCTAAAAGTTGTGTTTGAAAGCCCCTCAAGATGTGCACATGAATGGACTCAGTGCAATGGCTTGCTTAAGGATCCCTTATATGATCCACCGACAATATAATTTGTTCCCCGATGAGGACATGGCATATTGGGTCAGCCAAAAACATGGCTAGTCGCTCACAACATTAGTGTTTGAAAATTACAGACCTCTTCTTTGTGATTGGTTTCCTTTGGCCATGAATTGATTCCTGAGAAAACAACAAGGCCCTTGCTAACTCGTGGACATTTATCCTCACACCAACGGTATCTAAAGCTCCTCATTGCATTGAATGCCAGTGAAGGCTAGAAGCCCATTTCCAAGACGTTGCCAACGTTTGGTGTTTGAATTGGCCCAAAGGGCGGTCTTGAGTCATCAACAAGTCGAATTTAAGGACCGCTGCTGTTCTCAGGAAAGTTTTGAAACAATCTATCCCTAGATCCGCTTACTATGTGGTGATTCCCGCGTTCCCTTTGAGAACAAGATGGGGCTAGCTCGACCAGAAAAGGATTTAGTTAGTCTTGCCTTGGCCAACTGGAGCCGGAAGGGGTCCTGTTGTCACGCCACAGCCCATAAACTGAAGCCACCAGTGTTGAATTCTGGACCTCAGCCCCAACGCTCCCCATACAGGCCCTACACACGCTGGATGATAGAATCGAACATGTTGGCATTGACTATTATTGTGGACACGTTGGTCTCCTTTTGCGCGTAGCCAAGGCTTGGCCTTATCGCCGGGCACAGCGCACTGGTCCGGACCCAGCAGCTCAAACAATCAAGCGCTGCCCTCACCGCCGCCCGCGCCACGCGCTCTCGCTTGAGGTTAAGCTGCCACGAGAGTCCGGTATCCAACAGCTGCTGCTCCTACAAGCCTTGGACAAGCCAGATCCGACCAGCCGCAAAAGTGAACTTGTTGCAAGTTGAAGTTTAAAATGATGGAACCCAAAAGGTCAAAAGACACGAAAAGTGAGCTAAGTCTGCCAGTGGCGCATGCTCAAGTTGGTGAAAGAGCTGGGCTCCAGCTTCCACACGAGCAGCACAAAGAAACCAGCGCTGTATATGAAATCGGTCACGGCCCAAAGGCAAAGGCACGCCACCAGTGACAACAGCCATTTGACAGGGTACACGGTTGGATCATCCACATGGCGTAGAGGACAATTTCCAACGGTCCACGTGATCTTGTCGTTGACTTGGTACATTTCCGTAGGAACTGCGCTTTCTGCTGAGTGGTCAGTGTGGGTCACGATGCACCCTGTCTTCAAGTGGAGTGCTGCAACATCAAAGCGCTGATTGTCTTGAACCAAGCGACGTTCGCACATTGGTGATGGCCCCAAAGGTCCACCCGGAAACACATTGAGCATTTTTTGGTTGATCTTGGTGAACCCAGCTGCTCGCACTGCACCCAGCACGTGCCAGCTCATCGAAGGCTGGCCTCCTTGGATTCGTAGGTTCTCATCTTTCTCAGTGTATTGATGCCCACCGACAATATGCACATGGACGTGCTGAGGGCCGATGCCAGTGAATGTATGCGCCATTGCATCAGTTAATTCCTGCAGCACGCACGTCTTGGGGTTCGTCATATGCCGGCGTATGCCATGATGGATCGCTTGGACATTGACGTGCGCGCCAAATCCAGTGGGGCCCTTTGGTCCTTTGCTCGACCACGCAAAGACTGAGATGCAGCACAGCACTGACAGAGTTGTGAGAAACTCCACTGACTCATCACTCTCGACGAACTGTCCCATACAGAAAAGTTTGCTTGTCCTGTATAGACGCTCCTGGATGGGGCGTGACAGCCTTGTTGGCGCTGTGCTCGACACTTTCAAAGAAGCAGCATAGTTCGACTGTACATCGCGCTCAAACACCTCCTCGCTGTCCATACTTGCTACGTATGCTTTGAGTCAGCAAAAGTGCTGGATTGGCATAAGCGCCGCCCTGGCTGCAGCTTTTGCCCTTCTTGATTCTTTCACCAGCCATTGATTTACCAAAGTCACCCCAAAGTGTCAGGTTGAAGAGTAGCTGGTAATCCAAACCAAGTCCAGGTTGCGCGAGCCTCTTCGTGGGGGAAACGTTCACCAAACAAAGCGTGAAGTGGGCACATGCCCCCCAGATTTTCCAAGTCTTGGTTGAGCAACCCTGTTGCTGGTTGATCATCTTTAATGGGACAACTCGAACAACTCGCCCTGTTAATATTTGTGGACTTGTCTTGGGCGGCGGAACCAGGTAAATTGATGGTAGCCCTGATGACTCATGCTGACAGGCATTCAGCAGCGACACGTAGATGCGGGCATCTTGCTAATTTGCAGCAGCGCCCTCCACATATTCCTGGGAGTTATTTTCCTTAGGTTCTTCTTCAAACCCGTCCTTTGTAGGGGGGTGCCTACTTTGCGATTGAGGCCCATGTCCTGAAAATTCCTCAATCTTGCTCTGGAGAAAGTCGCCATGAATCCAATCCCTGCTACACGGATGAGTCAAGGGATCATGGACTGCCTCAGGCAGTTCAACTTCGGAGCTTCCCTGTGACACGAACGCTTCCTATACAAAGAAAACATTGGTAGCATGCGCTACTAGGGTCGGTGCCAGTAAACCCAGGTGTGACATGATAATGAACAAACATCCACATGAGGACAGTGCTCGTTTCCAAGTTAAGGATGCACCCACATTGTAGGGTTGAATGACAACCCCACATTTTACCCGTTGCCCACATAGTTCCCTCGACAACAGGCTGTCGCCTCGAGAAATCTGCCGGAATCAAGACGCCTTCGAGATACCACGCGTGTCTGCATCTAGCAATCTCGCCCAAGTCGATTTAGATTGGGCGAAAGCTTTGCTACTTAGGTGATGCAATGAGGTGTCTGCTTAGATTGCCCCATGTTGGGCAACCTCAACCGAAAACAAATCCCCACAGAGTGTGCCTTTGATTTCGCCCAACAGGCGCTGCCTGAACCACCCATATAAAACGGGCTACATCGACCCTTGTTCACAATTCAAAACTACTCCAAAGCGAATGCAGGGACGGCCTCCGCGCGAGCCGCTCGAGCCGCCCGCGTGGACGGCTTAGGCACTGGCTGTGCATGGACAGGAGAGAATGCGGCGACAAGGGACATGGCTCGGCGATGTTGTCAAGCCGCTCAACAGCTGTCAGGCAGACGATGTGTTGGAAAACTGAAAAAGTAACTCCTGGAAAACAAGTCCGACACCAATAGAAACATTCATAGCGAAGTACGAACAACAATGAGTTGACTTTTGCTCTTGAAGGCTTGCTAACTCAAACCCAAAGAACTGGCGAGGAGTAGCTGCCCCGTCTTAAGATCCATGATGGGTATCTCCTGACCCAAATGGACGGGGGAGGCGACGGGCCGGACTGCTGCTAGAGGTAGCGCTCAGTTGGACCCCGGACAAAATGACTTGTTTCCCCCAGAGGACAACAGCAAACACTGGGTGGGCCCCTGAGCGCTTGGAAATTCGGGTGCCCCCAGTGTCATCCTGAAGTGAGTCTTCAGGGGGCTCTTGCGCTTTGAGGGGGTCGGGGGAAATGTTTGAGTTCAGCCTGGCAGAAAAGTTATATACTCAATCCTTTAATCCTTTGTCCAAATCCAACGGAACCATGTAAGGCAAGCAGCGGCAATCAGGACGCGCAATCCACTTTCAGCAGACTCGGTTCAGGCCATCTTTAGTGGGACCATTCTCACAAACCTGCGACCTCAAGGGACCCCAGGCGACCTTTGGAAGGGCGCACCAGATTTCCACAACACCCCCAAACCCCAAACAAGAGGAAACTCATCTGCTGGCCCACAAGGTGATGCTTAAAGCCACCAAACGGGGCAATTTAGAGAACTCCTTCGGCAACCCTTTCCGGAAGCCACTCTGGAACTTGAGGAATCGGCGGCGTGGCCCCGGAGCTGTCGGCCATGCCCAAGTCCGCGTGCTTGGCCAAGAGCGCCTCGACCACCACCTGACAGGAACCGCTGGAACCGCTGGCCACGGTCAAATTTACTTTTCGTCCAAAGATCATGGGGGATTTTTTTCGGCCTCGTTGGTGTTGGCGAGAATTTCGCGAGTTGTTTTTTGCCCTCCTTCCAAATCACACATGTCCCGGCCTTGTCTGCTTGCTTCATAGCGAACCCGAAGAGGAACCCACCCAGTTTCGGGGGACCCCAATGTCTCAAAAAGGGAACTCTTTAGGTGGTAGGTGTCCTTTTGCTTTCTCCTTACACCCAACCGCAAAGGGGCCCTTTGAGAAACACCCATGTCCCATGGTCAAAGCTCCTTTTGGGTATGTCACACAGGGGGATCCAAAAATGGTCGCCCGTTTGGTTTCCCTTTAAACTAAGGCGAAAAGGGTGCCAGCGAAACACACACACACACACAGTTTGTTCCTTTCAAACATCACCCCACCAAAAGGAAGCTTGAGTAAACATGCTTAAGCTGCCCTTGCTTTAACAATCTGTTGAAACAGGGTTGAGTAGAACTTGTTTACACAAGCAACCCCCGTTGCCTTTTATGGCAAACCTTTCGGAGGCTGTCAGAACCACAGTTGCTTAACCACGTTGAACCCAATGGGAAGCGGGGCGGGGAAGGTGGGCTCGGTTTGCACTTTGAAACCATTGATGCTGGTCCTTGGAAACCATGGTTGCTCGTTCTTTTTGGCCAATTCATTTGCAGCTCAGGCCCCCCCGCCGTGAAAGGGCCAGCTGCGATCTGCCCATGGCTCGCGAGGTTGATGACGCGATGCAATGGCGTCTCCTGGCGCAAGAGAGACGAGCCCTCTGAGAACCAAAAGACACACACTAAATTGGCAGGAATCTCCAAACCAAGCAACCTGCCGAAAAGTTTCGAACCAACATAAGTGAAACAACAAACAGCACGGCTGCTTCTCAGGGCATTGCTGAATTTCAACTCCATCAACTCATAGTTCTTTGCAAAGATCCAAGTGTACAAAGGTTACATAAGGCAACATCGGCTAAAACTGGTAGAAAGGGCATCATTCGGAGTTCAAAAGGATGCATTTGCCAAGATCTCAGCAAGATAGGCAAGGATCAGCGCTTGGATAGTGCTGTGCGTCGGCCTTCAGAAACAAAACTAAAAGCAACCAGCTATAGCTTACCCATTTGGGTGAGAATGCTTCCGGGGGACCAAATGGACAATAGTTGTATAAGTATGTATGTCTACCAACTGTTTTTTGAGGGTGCTCCTGTTTTTCACGGTGTTCCCCCATTGCAATGGTTGGTCATCTGGCCAGGTGTCACGTCGCCAGGTCATTGTCGACCTACAAAAGACGCGGGATTTGGGGATTGCTCAAGCCTTACTCAAAAACTCGGAAACTCGAGGGTTCCCTTAGGCAATGCCCATCAACAATCATGGAAGCGCTCAAAGTGCTTTTGGATGCTTAAGGGTGCACAAGTAGAAAGCCGAATGGACCAGGTACAGTTTCACAAGGATGGGGATCAATAAATGTCCGTTTCCACGCTGCACTGTCAAAAAAAGGCGCAGCTTAACGGGAAATTGCGGGAACCCTGAACCCAAAATTAGGTGAACGTTCTAAGCGCCAGGTTCACTGATTTCAGTCGCGGGACATGGGTACGGAACTGCCAAATATGGCGACCTATCCATTTGGTTAATTACATGTTGGTTCCCTTTCAAATGCAAGCGGAAAACGGTGACCCCTACTTTTGCCACGCATCGACATAAGCCATGGAACCCCGCGAAAGCGTTGCAAACTCCACCCAGCCTTGGTGCTGTTGTCTAGCACGCAGTCGCATCGGCCTGACGTAGGCAAACAGGGTTGGCAATGTGCGCTTGGCTCAACTTACAAAGTGTCCATTCATAATATACAGCTGCTATGGACAGGGTCTATATACTCAAAATTATTTAAATATATGTATCTCAGGTTTTGATTGTAGCTCATGGAATGGTGGGATGCTGGCACCGAAGGTGGCATACGATCGCATATGTCCAGCTATGTGTATTACTGCATTCAATTGAATGAATCCAGCTGCAAACGATAGACTTGCCTAGTTGGCACCTGCACAACTCTTGTTCTGTGGAGGTGTCTCAGCCGCCCACCACCCCCGCAAGTGCGGGCAACTGCTGTGGGCAATCTGCCGTACTGCTATTGTGCAAGTATCAATAGGGCGTTCAACGAAGATTCAGCTAGCAGTTCGAGGAAGGGAAACAGCAAACTGCTAAAAGGTTGCTCCATCGAGCCTGTCGCAAAAGGTAGAAAGTCAGGAAATGGCAAACAACAGGGCCCAACGACGCAACGCCCAATTTCTACCCATGTAGTTGGTGATTGCGTTGAGGTTCGGAGCACCCTGTTCTATCTCCTGCCGTAGCAGTGGCCTGCAAACATCTGCGGCCTCAGATTCGACAAACATCCAATCATGCAGCAATGAATACCATGATTCATGATCATTCATGGCAACTGTAATCTGGGCTGTGCCAATACAACTCAATACAACCCGAGGCAAACAAGGTTAAACAGGGTTGGATTGGGTTGCATTGTGGTTTGAACTGCCTGTAATGTGCCAGCATTCTAGGCCGCTGTGGCGCCTCTTTCGGTGGCGAAGTTGGTTAACCACGCTGACCTTTTACGAGCCCCGGGGAGGTCCTAATGGTAAATCTCGCTCATTTACTGGCAGCTGGGCAGTCCCTGTACAACCTTACAACGCAAAGGATTGGAAGAATCCACCACTGGGTCTATCTTGACCGGGATGCACTTCGCAGCGAGAAGAGGCTGTAGGACGGGTTCCGCGTCTGATATTCATGTCAATGGCTTTTGCACATCGACAGTAGAAGGCTAGTAAAACTGATCATTGCTACACACGAACACACAACAAGCCATTCAGTGCGTGTGTTCAACATGCCGCCTTCGCCCTCC